TACTTGAGGACATTTTGAATCAAATAGAATCTTAAAAACCTTGACAAAGAATGAATTGGTTTGAGCCTCTCTTATCGGCCTCATCTTATTTATATCACAAAGGAAAAGTGGAAAACGAATATATAAGAGAATCTAAAGCTTTATGCATGCTTGAGTATAGAAGATAAATGACAGCTTCACTCAGCCAAAAGATTGATAATAACGCCCAAAGGAATCAAGCAAATGAGCTGGTAAACCACAATAAAGAAAGTAGCTGACTTTGCCCCACGTAGGCCAATAAAGTTTTATTCTCTAAACACGTAAAGAATAATATGAGCTCGAGGCAGGGTGTAAATGCCATGAATTTTTCTCCTTAGAATTTGTTTATCTAGGATTTGAGTGCATTACAATTCATTTCATAGCAATCGCACTAAATTCAATGCACATATCTGGATTTGAAATTTCGTGATCTCTGTAAGAATAAACTCATTGGGTTATGAATCCTTGCGACAAGAATAAAAAAAAGGAAAAGAAAAACTTTTACAAGAACTCATTCAACAACAATATGGAATGAAGAATGTGGGTTATAAAAAACTGTGAATTAAAATCTGACTATTTTTTTTTTCTAACAATAACAATTGCATGGGTCATGCACAAAGCTTACAAAGCTGGAGCATATGCTCCTACGTCTTTCCTAGCTAAACTAGTCAGCCATACAGGAAACTATTCCTGCCACACAAAATCATTCCTCTGGTTAATGGCAAACTTTGCCAAGTGGTGAGCTACAAAGTTACCTTCTCTTTGGATAAAGGAGAAGGAACATTCCGTAAAATCTTGTCTGAGCTTCAGGATATCAAAGATAACGACTCCAGTCTTTGGATCATCTGCCATTCTCGCATTAATCTTATCAACTATTCCTTTGCAGTCAGATTGTACCAGAACCTTCCTCCAACCCCGTTCCTTTGCCATATGCAAGGCCTGCCTGATAGCCAAAGCTTCCTCCACTGCTGGTTCCCCAAGTTTGTCATCACTGGCTGCCCATGCACCCATCATACTAATTGCAAGTTTTTAGTTAATCCAATATATATTGTTAGTGGTTGTAGTTGTAATCACGGAAACGTAGAACTATGCCATCAAACAAGATTAAGCACCAGTTCATTGTAATGATCAACAAAACTTCATATTTGCAACATATACAGAAGGGAGATATAGCGATCAGTTAGAACACAATTTTGAAATTTCTTGTACTTTTCAAATCTGTTCATAATTTTACAGATCTATTTTATTTGTTATATTACAGATCTGTAATTTTTATTGCATATTTAACCTATTATTAGGGCAGTGATATAGATCAAATCATACTGGACGATTTTTAGCAACTTGTTAATGAAATTTGCTTTTTATATATAAAAAAAGCTTCATTTTGTTAATTAAACGAGGAAGGGAAAAAAAAGAAATAAAGTAGAACGAATTCTCAGCATTTGGGACAAATCAGTTTTCTAAAACCAAAATACTGATAAATTGAAAGGCTATAATTCCTGCAAGGCCCGGACATGCAAATAAGTCCAAAATAATCCTTTCGAAAAGCATCAGTAGCCCCATGATAATCTCTTCAAATCAACCTTAAAGTTGCCCACGAGAGAACTTGGTGGTTGATGTCTAATGTTCCTACATATGATATGACGAGGCATTCACAATTTTCTTAGACATAATTTCATTGGTGAAAAAATAATTTGTCAGTAAATCAAGAAGAACCGTCTATATATATATATATATATATATCTGTCTGAAAATATGAGTGATTCTTTAAACTATACAATGAATTGCAGCCATAATATTACAACTAATATGAAATGAGCATATCCAAATCTCATCCCTGTACTTAGGTATCAAAATGTTCAAAGGCCTCTTTTATCTTATAACACGGTGGAATCACCATTTTGATCAAACTTCCTGCAATAACCATGCATCGCTAGCCTAAAATATATACTAGTTTGAGTGCCTTCAATTGTTGCTGATCATTATTCGATCACAGATTTGACACCAAAATATACAATAACGCACACGACATGTGGAACAAACTTTGCTTATTGCATCCCTATATCCAAACGATTTGATTCCAATGCACTTTGTTTCTTTTAATTTTCAACGTCCATCACTCTTGAGAAGAAAAAAGCGTAATTATTCTTGAAGCAAAAAGGCTTTCATAACCTTAACGGTGTCATATTCTGGCCAAAAGCTTTGTGGAATTTGTTAAACAAAACCATAAAAGCCCTACGGAGGCCAAGTGTCAAATAGCCTACATTTATATCATGTTAAATCATCAAGTCCTCTATTGTCAGATCAAGTAGAATTCATTTACTATTGCAAACACTGATAAGAACGTCCACCGATTTTCTAGTCATATATTAACATATCAACAATGTACACACAATAGGATGCTAACTGAAATTTTGATCTAGAATATTAGCCTGTTCTGATGATGTAAGAAGTTAATTAACAAAATAACCAAGCTAGCATAAAGATTTTTTTTTCTTTCTTTTTTTTTTGCGGGTACAGGTGAATAATTTACTAGTCTAATATGAGCATTATGTGATTTGTTATATCCCGTGGACACTGGAAAAGGAAAATGTAAAAAAAAATAATAATCAAAACGTAAAGAAATTGTGGGTCAAATTTTCAAAAAGTTAACGAGTTATGTACAAAAACAAAAAAAAAAGTTATCTCTCAATTATTCCCTGTCAGTCATATTCTCCTGATGTTTGATGTATGTAGCAAAAGAAAACTACGGAAAGTAGCACTTAGTTTAGCACCTGGTAATCGAAAATATTGTTGTCTATCAACTCTATTTGACACCCCCTCAATATTCTTGAAGCAAAAACTTTTAAAAATGCCCACAATCTTAGACCAATGAGGGCGGCGTTGAAAGCAAATGGGAATGTGTAAAGCAACTTGAACTTGAACAGCACTGCCACAAACAGTCGAATAAGCCGTACTCGTATTAGATTAATCTTTCCGTCCACATCGCTTGTGTGGGTTCTTCAATCGGAACTTAAGTTATATGGGGGTCTCATCCTGTCACCAATTGATTGGACGTGGATTCTTTGTGAGTCCTGCTTAGGTTTAATAGACGTAACTTTTGAGTGTTTCTAATCTAATTGTATGTGTGTGTGAGAGTTTTGTCCGTTTCAGAAAAAGTATTAGATTAATCTAATACCCCAGCCTACTTTAAAAAATTGGAAAGGTTGGCTGAAGATTAATTTACTAAGCCTTAATTTTGGATATTTATAAGATATTAATCCTACAAAAGACTTGTTGCATGAAACTATTGGGATCGTGCTTTATATATATATATACACACACAAAAAAAAGGTAACAGTAGTATTTTTCAAATTGAAACACATTCTAGAACATATAAATTCTCAAGCTTTCTAGACGAAATAAACAAATGATATAGAAACTAAAGAGCCCAAATACAGCCCACCCCCTTACTTTGCATCAGATAAGGCATTATATTCTGCATGGTGAGTTTTTGTTGTGCTGCAACAAAGTGAAACGAACGTCTGACATATTGGATGACATTTGATTTCACTTGGCAACTTGAAGAAGCTGCTACAATGTATTTTGAACTTGCCCACACAAAGAGAATAAAACAGTACTTAAAAGGGACCAATCTTTCTGGTTCTACTTTCGGCAAACCCTAAAAGGATGAAGGTATGTACTCCACAACTGTCAATGATAATTTCACCATGCAATGCAGATGTTAAAGTAACAAATGTGGAAGCTAAAATAATTTTTTTCAAGAAGCGAGAAAATTTATTAGGATATTTTTGTATATTAATGTGTTAATGTCTGTATTTATTATTTTTAGTGTTTACGTTTGTTCTTCTTGTATCTATATTGCAAGGTGCAATTCTTGCTAGCAATTGTAGAGCCCTTCATCCAACTTCAAATTAAGATTCTGGACTGCTATTGTCAGTGCCTGGAGTTATATATCTAATCCTACAAGTTACAAGTTGGCAGAATTTGCCTCTCACTGCTCTCTTTTCCTTTTGCAATCTGTATTCTATGTCCTCTAAAGGCACTTTACAAGCTTTTATGCATATCAAAAGGTTAAAGGTTTCCGCAAGCTACACGTAAGGATTCTGAAAACTGTCATTGCCGGGGCATCCTAATCTTACAAATTGGCAGGATCAGAAACCTAGACAATTGCAGGATTTGCAAGATCAGGAACATCCCCTGAGGTTTTTAACAATTACAGAAAGCTTCCCATAGGTTTTGAAAATTATATATACCTCTCCTATATTGTTTATGTAACAGTATAAGTCCAACAACTTAGATTTTCTCCCAAAATCCTAAATTGTTTTTTTTTTTGTACAAAACTGAAAAAAAAAAGTATCATACTCAATCACTTTCTTCTATATTTTAATTCTTAACAACTATTCAAGTACAAACTCAAGTTCTAAATGTGAGTACACTACAACAAAAATGGCCTTTAACGGCATTTAAAGGTGTCAGTATAGATAATCTAACCTGACACTTTATCTATCCTCACACCTAGGGCGAGTGTTGTCCCTTCCAATGTGGGGATAGCCTCAAATCTTTAGCAGCATTCAAATGTGTCAGGAATACCATGCTGCTATAGCATTCCCTCTGCCAACAAAAACTTTTTTTGTGATAATCGAAAGTGTCAGTATAGCATTAGAACATCAGTAGCAGATCAGTAGGATATCCAATTTATGAAGGCATCTTGAGTTGTCTTAATATATGGCTTTAAGGACACGTAGCCATGTGAATTTACACTGCTTTGGACGACACGCCCATTTGTCATTAGTGTTTTTCGAAGCTAAGCTATGCTGACACTTTTAATTGCCAGGAGTTTTTTCCCTGTTTTTTTTTTATATGGAAGCAACCTGCAATTAGTCCTCCCTGCTGTACATTCCATCAACCAGAATCCCAAGGGACTTGTAAAATTATCCCAAAGAGCAGAATGCATATAGCAATTTAAAAGAAGAAGTCGATACTCAAATATAATTCATTAAATTAAAAGTCGGTAACAAGTACAAACGTAGCAAATATTAAAATCCCAAACAAGTACTAAAACATTCTCATGTACACAAACTTGAAATACTTTCTTGTGCACAAACTAAAAGATTCTCATCCCTAACAAGTTGAAAGAACTAACAGTAGCTTCCAAACTTTACAATGAAATGAGAGCTTTCAGTCATAACCACGAAGTCCCCATCAATCTTCAGCTGGTTCCACCTATGCACAAAGTTTGTGGGGGATCATTAGATCATCATACTAACAAGAGCTTTCCAGAAAAGCCACAATGTATTTGCTAAAGATCAAATTAAATTGCCATGATTCCAGAGGCGAAGCCATTCATGATGAGACCTAAGTGCCACGATGTAAAGACATGAACCCTTTTCCACTACTCTGGATTAGGCCACGAGCCATGTCATTTTGTTTGATTCAAAGTTAGGAACCATTCTAAGGATTTAAATTTGTTCAAATTTTCTGTATTCCACGAAATAATCACTTCCAGGGGGAATTTTGCAACCCACTCACACTTAAGATCAATCTGCTATCAATGAAAAACTAAACCTTGTATCCACTCAGTAACATAAAGTCAACTGCTAACAAAACTAGTTACATGCATTTCATATCGGCAATTACAGGACAGATCAATGCGTAAAGTTAAAAGCTTTCAGAATAAGTATTAGCAACTCAATGCCCATAAAGCCAATACATAAATGTGCAGCAGTAGCGGATCATGAAGCTTTAGTTGCATTTACTTCTTAAATATTAGCTACAGAAAAGATCATAACGTTTCCCACCTAGAAGCTTTAATTTCATCTTTTAGTTACCACCTCATACTTGCCAACAACCATAATCACACCACTCATCCTCTGATACCAACCACAAAGTCCAATAAACCCAATCTCCTGCCCCTGACCCTCCTCTTCCCCACCCCCCCAAAAAAAGAAAACTAAAAAAAGAAAGAACAGAACAAGAAATGGTTCTTGGAACATTTACAATTTTCACAACCCTTTCACAACAAATACATGGAAAGCGCTAATGAACATCATCTGTAGGCCCAATTGAATCAAACAAAACTGACTACTAGTCCTCAAGTTACTGTACAACCACTAACCACCGACATGATTACTACCAAAAATGCATCTGCAAAGCAGAAGCAACCTCTTTAATTCATAAAACAGAGTACAAAATCAACCCATTTTAGTACTCAACTTCCATCCTTAAAATCCAGAAAAGGCCATGCAACATCCTTAATCTTCCTCACAAAGACTAAAGACCGTTCTTTGATCAGCTTATACCAAAACCCCACAAAATTAAAACACATATTTTTCAGTTTCAAGAAAAATCACGAGCCTAGATTTACCTTTAGAGAAGACTTAAGGCAACCCTTCCAGTACACAGACTGGAAAACTTAATGATATATTGCTGTCCTATCCTTGACCAGGGCCTTTTAAATACTTAATGTAATTACCTAGTAGATCAAGAATTTAGTTTCTTTTTGGTGTTAATGTTTTCCACATGAATCAGGAGTTTGTTTTATCTTTTCTTGGCTTCCTCGTGAATCAGGGAATGTAGAAAATGGAAACATAAGAGAGATCACTCAATAAAAAACCTATACTAGGTTGTTTTCGTATTTATGGTGAAACCATATATTACCTAATAACTTTTCAGTACATCAAATTGCAATCATGGACAGCAAAATGTGCACTGCATCCGTTGCTTTCGCGAAAAATTTGAACTATACTAAAAGGAATGTCTTAAAATTTTTACCTCCAAATGAGGGAAGTTCTGCATTAGTGCTCAAAAGAAGCTGTGCTTTTGTTCCTGTGCAGAGTCTCCATTTCCTTTCTTTAAGGTAAAATTGTTTGGAGAGGCATTCATGCTAAAGTTTCTTGATACAAAGCCTGCAAAAATAGTTTCCCCAAATTTTAGTAAAGACAAAAGCGAGGCTAAATCAAATGCTTGTATGAGAAAGATAGTTTACCATTTATCATTGCCAGATATACTCTCATTGCCCTACTTCCTAGACTGCAATTCAACTTTCAAAGCCTTAAGAAGGTCTTGCATTTCAATTTGTTGGTTTTGCATTTCAGCTTGTCAGTTCTCCAGCCTTTGCATAAGTTGCTATTGAGCTAGTCCTAAAATTATACATCTCAAACTACACAACATCAACTCCCAAGTTTGAAAAAGAATAACCAAAGGAGATTTCAAGTCATGAACAACCCCTCCATATGATACATACCCAGCCTACTCAATCAGATTGAATTTGAGGGAAAAAAATAGGGTCAGATCAAGCACATAACATCCCATCTGTTCCAATTCGGCGTACCCATACAAAAGCTCCAATTAGCTTGCTGGATAAACTAAATCAACCCCAAAAACTAGTGGCAAAACACATCTAATTTAATGTTTTCTAAGTTTGTTGAGTAGGTTTGTCTAATGAGGGAAAGAAGCAGAAAGTATGGTCAACATTTTACACTACCAATGACAACAACCAAAATTTTCCAACCGCTGGTCAATTTTTGTTCAACTCTCCCCCTACCAAGTCCAGCCGTAGTTGGGTTTTGTGCAAAAAATGGTTGGGAAGTAGCAAGTCCTTCCCAAGCGGGCCAAGAGGCAGATGATGCAATTAATCTAGGGGATTCATGATGACAAGGCAAAAATTTTGAACAATTTTTTCCCCTAAGCTGAGGCTGAGGCTAAATACAGATCAGAAAATACAGATCAGAAAACACTAAAGTTGACCACTAAAAGCAAGCATATATACTCCAAAAAACATGACTTCTATTTTAAGTTCAAAATAGAAGTCATCTCTAAGAAATATTTTCAAGTTTTTGGAGCCTCCAGAGTCCAATGACAAGCTGGATGGTCTAAAGAGCAGGGTCAAGTTCAAGATCATGAGCTTGAAAGTAAAAGGTGACATGGATTATGTACCAGAGCTGTTTGATGAGCAAAGGGATCAAGTTGCAGTTGAACAGATTCTGCGGGTTATTTTCCTGGAGCCTGATCATCTTACCCTGCACTCGAAAAACTGAATCGTCAACTAGCTGAGGCTGAAGCTAAGCTTGAGGTACGCAAAAGGCCTCCTCTAGAGGACAAAGGTCTAAGAGTTCAGATTCCTAAGTCCTAGCGTAGCAAGGTTTGGAAAGAGCAAGACATAGATTGGCATAAGCACACAGATAGAACATGAAGAAGGCGACAGCATTAAATCCAAGTGAAGCTTAAGCAAATCTAGAATAAGGAGGAAAAGCCAGTGAAGTTTCAACACCCAAACTACACATAAATGAGACTAGCATTAACCTTCACTTCCAGCGTGTATCCACGGGTAGCAAGCAGCTATAATCTTCTGTATTCTCTTCATGACGCGTCTTCTCGTGGTAGATGCTTCTTCACCAGAACTGCTCCCAGAAGCTGAGGAATTTCCACTTCCACCAAAGTAGTCTATGTTGCCAAATCTTTCCTCACCCTCACCCCATAAGCTCGCTTGAAGTGTAGCTTCCCTTTCTCTATTGTATACATACTGCAATTTGGACCTAAAATACGGCAACACAACCTACACAACGTTTATCCAACTCAGAACACAGTAAACAAACTCTACTAAAAATAAAAAAAGCCAGAAGCTTGCTTGAGTGTCAAAAAGGAAGGATCTTTGACAACAGAAACATATCCAGCATTAAAAAACGACCAATCGAGAGTAATGAGAACAACCGATAAAAAAAAGGACTTATTTCAAAAATTATGAATCGTCACATAGACAAAATTCTTCTCCATTATGCAAAACATGAAGTAACTGAATTTAAGGAGTACCAAAAGAAAACGAAACAATTACCAAAATACAACAGAGAGGATTTTCTGGCGTTTCTCTAAACCATTATGATGAATTGCGTCAGCAGGGGAATCCAATGGCAAAATCTTCTTCTTGCTGTGAATATTATCCTTTGTTTTTACTTTAATATTAACCGCTCTTCTTCTCAACCCATAAAGAGACTCGGCAAAAGAAGCATCGGTTGTTCTCAAGCTGTGGGTTTCCAAGACAAGCATTAGCAAAGCGAAGAATTCATCCTCATAGTCCAGGATTTTGTGAATAAAGGGTCTTCTTAAAGCCAATACCTACAAAACAAAACAAGCCCAGTTACTGAATTAAAACAAAAAAGAAGACAAAAAACAAGAATTTTGATGAAAATTGAAGAACCCAGATGGAGTTTGAACTTTGAGTAGCTTACGCCGAGAGAGTAAGTGAGAGCAGCACGAAGACTAGAAGGGAGCTGTTGGGCAGCGGCCATTTCGAAGAAGGTGGGACGAGTCCCTTGTCCTCCTACGATATCTTCGAGCTTGTGGCCGGATTCCTTACCGGAATTGCCTAATTCTTTTGCTAAGAAATAATTTCTGGAGAATCTGAACTCGTCCTCTTTGATGGTGCGACGGGACGGCAGAGATAGGGAGCAGAGGAGAGGAAATTGGCCGAGAGAGGAGGGCAAAAATTGGTATTTCAGATTTAGGCAGACAACCAAGAAAAATCAATTTAGGGCAAAAATTTATCATGTAATTACATATCTTCAATGGGAAAACATGGGTAGTTTGATTGTGGAGAGATTCAATAGAAAAAACTCTTCGGGGAAAGCAAAATTTTGGCCAAGAGTTTTGACAGATAATTTGCCGAGAGAGAGAGAGAGAGAGAGAGTTTGTGAGAGAGATAGGAGAAGCAAAATTTCAGCAGGCAAAATGAGGTTTTGAAATTTCACTAAGTGTTTTGGCAAAGCAATCTTCCGCCAAAATCAAACGACGCCATTTTGTGTTCTAATTTTTTTTTGGTGCATCTCACATTTTTTCAAATGTCATGATAGGTAGTCTAAAGACACATTATTATTCTTATATCAGATAAAATAAAATAAAAAAGAGTATAAATTATTGATTTGATAACAAGTGTAATGATAGAAGTGCTATAATGACACAAACCATCAAGTGTCCTCGTATGTATGTCAGGAAAGGCTATTTTTGTTGTAGTATCGTCCAAAAGATCCCAAATTACGTAGTCTGAGAGCACGAGAGGTTGTTTAAACTATTGCAGCCACAGTATTACAACTAATATGAAATGAACATATCCATATCTCATCACTGTACGAAGCATCAAAATGGTCAAGGCCTCTCATCTAATCACACGGTGGAATCACCTTAGAGCAAACTTCTTATAATAATCACACATCGTTAGCCTAGCTGTATATTGCAGGTCTGTATCCACGATTTGACTCCAGTGCATTCGTTTTTCAACGTCCATTGTTCTTGACTTTTTTCAAAAAAAGAATGCGTAATTATTCTTGAAGCAAAAACTTTCATAACCTTAACAGTGTCATAGTCTTGTCAAAAGCTTAGCGAACCATAAAAGCACACATTAATATCATGTTAAATCATCAAGTTCTCTATTATTAGATCAAGTAGAATTCATTTACCCAAAACTAAGAAGGTCCACCAATTTTCTAGCCACATATTAACATATCAACGATGCATAGGATGCTAACTGAAATTTTGATCTAGAATCTTAGCCTGCTTTGATGATGTAAGAAGTTAATTAAACAAATCACCAAGCATATAGATTTTTGTTTCAGTCACATCTGAATAATTTACTAGCCTAAAATGAGTAGTTTGTAATTTCTTATACTCCTGTGGACATTGGAAAAGGAACACCCAAAAAAAAAAAATCAATAGGTAGAGAACTCATGGTTTAAAATATGAACATAACAAGCTATGCAATTACACTTTTGGGAAGACATATGTTTGGATAGCAAAATTATTTCGAATACTATTTTACTTGCGTCATAAACATAATTTTTAATCAATCATTTTTTTATTTCAAATGCATTATATCATAAGACGTACTATAATAATTATTTCAAGTAATCTCATATTATGCTTTAATTGATTGCCAAGAAAACATCTTCATTTCATTTTATTTAAACAAAAAGACTGAAGCTACGCCACAAAATCCCTCTCCAGCTTGCATTTACCGATCCCAAAAAGTGAAGAAGTAAAGTTTTTTCTCTCTTAGCATTAGATACGATTGCCTCCTTATCCTGTCTCCCTACTAATCCCTGACTCTAAAAATACATATACCTTACGTTTCTATCCTATAGTTTTTGTAACTTACCCACTCACCTTTAGTCATTATTCATTGGCATTACCTTCCTAATATTCCCTAACTCAATTAGATGCTGATCTAGCCAAGCCTTGTCGGTGACCTTCTCTTGATGTATGTAACAAAAGAAAAGTACGGAAAGTAGTACCTTCTTTAACAGGCATACATGTCCAAAGTCCACCTGGTAATCGAAGATATTGTGGTTGTCTATCAATATTCTTGATGCAAAAACATTTGGAATATGCATATGGCTGCAATCAAAACAATTCAAAGGAAATGTCAAAACACCTCTTTAATCTAGTCAGGTCGGTATACCTGCTAATCCTTGTATAATCTCTTTATATTTCTCCTCTATGTAAAATAAGATAGATTAACTTATACAAATGATATCGTTGTTCCAAAAAAAAATATGGCTTGCACATTTGCACTGCCCACAATCTTAGACGAATGAAGGCATTGTCAAAAGCATATGGGAATATTTGGTAAAGAAACTAAAACAGCACAGCCACATACGGTCGAATAAGCCGTGCTCATATCATATCAAACAATACCCTACTTTAAAAGATTGAAACATGTGTGGAGTGAGGATTAATTTACTGGTAATATGAATACTCTAGCATATAGAGCCAAATATTTTTCATAGGCCTAGCTAGCATACACATTATAATCATGGAGATTGAGATTGATTTCAGATTCTTACACCCAATTGGATATTTATAAGATGTTAATCCTACAAAAAGACTTGTTGCAAGTAGCTATTGGGTCATGCTTTACATACAGAAAAATGGTAATAATAATTTTTAGCAATGAAAAGAAAGAACAGGATTTTCCACTTGCACATGAGTCAAACACATTCTGGAACATATAAATTCTCAGCGTTCTAGACAAAATGAACAAATTAATAGACATAAACTAAAGAGCCCAAATACAGCCTCCTTACCTTGCATCAGATGAGGCAATAAATTCTACGGATAATTTCCCAAATCTCCCCTGAGATTTTTAATAATTACAAAGAGCTCCCCTCAGGTTTTAAAAATAATATATACCTCCTCTACTTTTAATATTTAGTAACAATGTAGGTCCAACAAGATAGATTTTCTCACAAAAATCCTAAATTTCCCTTTTGTACAAAATTAAGAAAGAAAAATATAGTATACTCAATCATTTTCTTCTACACTTTACATAAATTAATAAGTTTAATCCCTAACAACCATCCAAACATAAGTTCTAAAATCAAGTAGCCATTCAAAAAATCCTAAATTACATATAAAGTAGCAATACTTGCCACTAAAAAAAAAAGGAAAACACGCACACAAACCCAATTAACAATCAGTTGTACGAAAAATTAAATATCAATACTTAAATATCTTTTCAATACAAGCTAATCTGATTTAAAACCGTCATTACAACCCTCCTATGACTTTAAAAATATTAATATCTTAAAAGTATAGAATAATTCTACCTCCATAACAAAATTATAACAAAAAATCTAATCCAATGAAAGAAATCCATATGTAAATATTGACATTTTATAAAAGTTTTTTTTTGACAACAAACAAAATATGACAATTTTCACATCATAGCTCTTCTTCCTATTTCAATAATCAATTTTATTATTTATTTCTCTATCAGTACGAGTCTCTTCATTTTATTCTAATTTGGCACATAATCTGCTCTCTGTTGCTTTTGTAAATTTCAATTTGCTAATATCCACAAAATTGAAAATAATAAAAAGAGGTTATATTAATTAGAAAAAAGAGAAGCGAAAATAGACAAGAGACAGAAAAATTGATTTTTTTTGGGTTTTCTAAATTTATTGCCTTAAATTTAAATTGTCTACAAGTGGAGGGTATTATAGGTATTTTACTATGTCAAGGGGGTAAGTGTAATTTTTTAAACTTGAGGGAACCGAGTGAAATTGTCAAAAACCTCAAGGGAGGTTTCTGAAAAATTCCTAAATTCTACCATCTTGAGTTTTGATCGTTGCTAGTGCCTACTCGTGCTGCTGCATCTAAATGAAACGAACGTCTGACATTTGATTCATGGCAACTTGAAGCTGCTACAGTGTCTTTTGAACTTGGCACAGAAAGAGAAGAAAAGAGTAAATCTAAGGGACCAATCTTAATGGTGCTACTTTCTCAAACAAAGGACGAGGATCTGTCTGTCACTGACAATTATACCGAATAATTAAAGCAATAAATGTAGACAATAAAATAATTTTTTTAAAGAAATAAGGAAATCTTGTTACATTTTATATATTCTTTGTGCTAGTTCTACATTTATCTTTTAATGTTTATAGTTATTCTTTCAGTGTTTATACAAATTGAGATTCTGGATAGTCGTTGTCAGTGCATGCAGCATCTAATCTTAAAAGTTGGCAGAATTTGGCTCTCTTTCTGCTCCGTTTTCCTTTTGACAAGTCGGTAATCTATATCCAAAAATGGGCTTTTCACAAAGTCAGTAATCTGTATCCGAAAATAGCATGCCAAAGACACTTTACAATCTCTTATACACGTCATAAGGTTTCAGCAAACCAAAATTGAGATTCTGAACTCTCATTGTCCGTGCAGGACCCGGCGCAGGAAGCAACCGTTCCTGATGATTACGTGCATTTGCACACGACGTAACTCTGTTTGCACATGGTGTAATTTACTTTCAATAACGTATAATTCTAGAATAAAATTTTATGGATTTCATACATATTGTTAAAAACGAAATACAAGATGAAATCTGAACCTTACAATTTTTTTTGATCAAATCTTGACTGTGAACCTGCAACCATTCCTGCCTCTCTTCCATCGGTGCATACTAATCTTACAAGTTGACAGAATTTGCAAGATAAGTAGGAGTGAAAAAAGAATCAAATCACTCAGATACTCAAATCACTCACTCAGATACTCAGATAAGTAAGACGATTACAAGGTCTTATGCACATCACAAGGTTTCTGGAGTGATCTTCCCACATTGATAGCAGGATCCAGATCAAAATTCAGAAAATAGCATGACTGGACTTTATGACTGTAGCTCAATCTTCAAATGAACAACTGCATCAACCTAGACTTTCATTAGTCGTGGAGGATTTCATGTAGCATGGGACGAAATGAAAATCTTGGCAAGTAAAACCATCCATTTGGTACTTAAAAGAATAAGGTTAATTTTTAAACGAACTTAATTTGTTCTTTAAAGAGGAATGTAATGACTGTATATAATACTTGCCCTTCTCAAATTCTCATTGTTTTTATCCTCAAGTTACTCAGCATTTGAAACTTTCCAGTTTCAAAATCCTTTAAATGGTGAGAATTGTTAATGCCACAAAATTATGCTTGCCGTCGAATTGCTGCCTTTATATTATGCTTCCAAAGCCTCTATTATAACTTTAATGTTTAAACACATTTCTCTACCAGAATTTTTTAATCTATAGTCTTAGATTTACTCCACTTAGAACTTCTACCTAAAGAACACAGGACTCATTGTCGGACATCTATAATTCTTTTTTTTTTCTTTGAATTAATCATCAACATATATATAATGTATACACTACCGTCTAAATGCTTAATAAGTAAT